AAACATGATGTTCTGCTATTCGTTCACCGTTAGCTTATTGTTTTATACAATTCGGAGCAGTTATGCACTCTGGCTTTCTATTCATTAGCCTAATTAATTAGGCAGGCAAATACATCTAGCTCTGCCTGTGCTCCCATTTTGCAGCCGTTTTTTTCCACCCCTATATCATACAGATCACTGTCTTCCCAGCACTGTACAATCCCTTTGATCAGCCACTGGGGCTGACATCACTGCATTTATACAGTTCAACAGCTCAAACTGTTCGGCCCAGCGGACATGGCGTTGCTTAGTGTCAGATCAGGTAATGTGTTCTGGCCCCCCGCCGCCCTCCTTACAGCTTGCCCAGAATGATCGACGCACAACCCTGGACAGCTGAACGAATCTTACAATTGCAGGGAGAATAGACACACTCTGGCGTCTACAGGAGGTTAAGTCCTATAAAATATATAAAAAAAAAAAACACCTGCTGTTCAATGTCAAGAAAGATTTGGCCAAAGCAATCAGCAAAAGCCCAGTCTGTCTTGTGGACTCACCCTCAAAAGGCAGTGCGGCAAAGCAGAGGCCGGTTCAACGCACATTTTATGAGAATTTTCTTGTTTTTCCAGGGCATGCTTTTTGAGAAACACATCCAACACATATCACAGTCACACACTCTGGCAAGAAATTTCACACTGATAACAACTGTTGTTTCTGGGCTGGGTAGAGTTGAGTATAAGAAGGTGGCAAAAACAAGATTTAGGCATGTTAAGATGACGACTCGGAAAGAAAGGGGTTAAATTTAATGAAATGCAGATTTTCTTTCTGCACAAAGAAAGATTTTCCAACCCTTCTGGCAGTTGATGATGAGATGTATTCCTTTTGCATCTAAAACAGCATTGACAAAAAACCCTAAATGCTACAGTATTGAATGATGACTAGGCAAAAATTACAATAAACCACATTAAAATGTATTACATTTCTCTGCAAATTACAGTGCCAATGGCACAGGCTTAAATGTTTCTCTATGATTTGTATTACAATTGTGTCAAAACCGGCAACAGGCAGAACACAAACGTTTGAAATGCTACTGTCGTGGGTTAGCTCAAATAGCGAAGATATCACACATACCTCAGCTTCTGTTTATTTGGTCAGATAGAACATATAATTAATGCCGTTTTTAAGATATGTGTGTGGTTTTGAATTCACCTCATCTCAAATGAGACATCATGCTGCATTTAAAACATTTTAATTATCTAGAGCAGCATTCACCTTTGTGTGACCCACAGACGTCAGTTTAGCCGACAATGATCTCCATGTACAAGGGCTAATAAATGATTCACTCTATATACGTGTAGAGATCCATCTGAGTGACACCAACTCACTTTGCATTGAGAAAAATTTCTAATTTAGAAAACAGTTTGACAGATGTGGAGACAGAGAAAGGTGGACCTACAGTTTAACACGCAGTATATATAGAAATAAATTGGGCATCGAGGTTTGGGGACTGGAATGGGCAGCCAAGAAGGTTCCTAGAAATAGGCACAGGTACACGGCTACCTTTGACAAACTGCTGTATATTGTAGCTGCACTGTCAGAAAAAGAACCAATTTGTACCATTGAAGGCGCAATTACTGGTCGCAGGGGCTGTATTCTCAATGGCTGGCCAATTGTACCCTAGCTGTAGGTAAATGTACATTTTAAGCTGCAGAAATGGACTCAGAGGAACATTTTTGTGCCATTGGGGGTACATTAATGATGTTTGTACCTTGCGGAACAAAACTGTACCCTTTTTTCTGACAGTGTGAAAAGACATTGGAACAGAATACCCATAACCCTTCTGTAGGGCGTACATCTTTTGGCATGGTTTGTTTAACCCATTAAAGACACCGACGGATCTGTGAGATTCCTGGGGTCCAGCCAATTACTGTAGGTCATTCTGTCTGACATGTCTGGTTCTCCTACACCATGGATCCTTTCGCCACAGTCATAGATAGGATTTAATACCAAGGACCCACTGTTTCCCCAAGCACAAAGATTCCAGTGTTTGGTAACCATTAAATTCACAGTTTAAGATGGCCCAGTGGGCATGTTCTTTGATTCCTGTAATTACAGGGTTGACTCTGTTAAGGAAATGGCATATAATTTTTACCAGCATCTTCAAGATGGGGAGGATAGTGGTAACACCCATGTTTGTTACGTGTATGAGACCAAGTTAATTTCCCTTTTTTTAAATGGCCAGTGAAGAAAATGGAAGTATACTAACTCGATGCATTCTGTCCCCAGACATGCATGCCACGCTCTCCTGGTATGCAGTGTACAATCCGCATGTGCCCAGCCACCGTGCAGCCCGTCACACGACACTACTGCGGTTCTGATCCGCAGCTTGCACAAGCCAGTAATAGCACAGCCTTAACGTGTGGGTGCCGCTGGCAGTGAAAATGCCATCGAGCTGCCAGTTGTTGTTAACATTCTTGTCTAATGTAACTATAAAGTCGGCTGCATATTTATACCTAACATATGTCTCCTGTTATACACGTGACAACGCTTCAGTAATCCAAGCGTCACTCATCAGTTCTAATATAAACAGAAAATCTGTGACTATTTTATTTCCTAGGCCCAGGATTTTATAGGAATGTAATTCCTCATCATAATTTCACAGCTGGTAGTTTTTATTTATGTAAATGAGCCAACGTTCTCCTGCGAACCATCTAGCCGCACTGTCACATGCTGAGCTGTACTACGCCACCTGCTGGCCGACATGATGCTATTGCCTCATCGCGCTTTCCCTCATTGTGATGTGGCGTCTAATCTGCTTTCCCCATAAACTGACTTTAATTATACAACATCATTTGTAAATGGAACAGACACACTCCCAGGAAACCCTCGGGACCACTAACCAACTTAAATATTCAATTAGCCAATTGAATAACAGGAAAGCTCCCACACAGGGGCTTGGCCGGGCCCTGGATGCGAAAAGCCAATCAGATCCAGCAGGCATAAGAGCACTTAGTAAATGGTCTCAGTGTGGGAGTCGGTGTACATAATAAAGCCCTGGATTTGCGACTGAATATCATTACAGATCTGAATCCCTTGGGGAAGGACTACTCATAGGCAAAGATCCGTAACCAGAGACGCGTCAGGAAATAACACGAGCAGAGAATACTTTGGAAGTTACACTGGATTAAATAAACAAATCGATAAATATAGAGAATAGGCATATGTGTACTGCCAGCCTGTGGGGAAATGGAAAGGGGAGAAATAATAAGCCATGAGGCACCGTCCGATATAGGTAATATTTATTTGGCTTTTTTAAATCAGTTTCGTATTCCAAGAGTAGTATTATATTCTGTAGAATAAAATAACTGCTATCTGTCTTCATCCTTATCAGCTTTTTCCAAGCAGTGGCGATCCTTCATCCTAAGTCTCGAATTCGGCTATAATTCCGTTCTGCTTAATGTGTCTTTTATCAGTCCTCTCCCTCCAGCCGGCCGTTTCCGTGAACCGTGGCTCCACTGAGTCAGAGGACGACTGGCCCTGGAGCTCATGCCCGTTTGGATACCAAGAGGCACCAAACGCAAGCTGAGCTGGGCTCGCTTGTGTTTCTCAGTCGCTCCTGGGTCCAAGCTCAGCTTCGGGCCCCTAGAGCAGGGGCCCCACTCCCTGTCACAGCAGGACACCCATGCTCCCAAATCAAGCTTGTCATTACTGCCATGACCGTTGGCTGTCTGGCGTTCAGTCGGCCCCCCATCTCAGGGGCCCCAGCCCATTTTAGGATTTACATTAAAATATGAAGAATGCATGAAATATTTACATATAGTCTCTGGGAAAACTTTTTTTAAAAACCTCTTTTTAAAAATACATTTTTATCATGTTTTTCCAGTGTAACAACAGATATTCATGGTTAATTACAACATTTCCATGGTATCTTTTTCTCTTAAAACATCAGATGAACTGGAAAAATAAAAAAAGATTTCAGTGTCTCTCTCTCTCTCTCTGTTCTATTGATGGTATATGCAGGTGTAGCGAAAGCTACAACAAAGTGACCTTATTGTTAATGGTGTGGTTGTTTTCATGCTGCATTAGTGACCATACAATGTGTTGATCTGAACTGTTAACGAGCACATGCAGTGTTTTTCTTGATAATTTTAGAAATAATGTATCTTAATATGGATAGGGATATTGGCCCTGTCACTGCAGCAGTGAGTGGTGTTTTGGGGGACGGAGATCATTTTGCACATGTGACAGAGTATGCCGATGGCTGAGCTTGTGAAACACTGCGCTCCCTGAGTATTGGCCCCTCGGGATCCAGGCTGTACACCCGGGGACTCAGAAGAGTTCATCTCTGAGATGCCTTTGCTCTTCCCGGTTCATCTACTGTAAGTCACTGAGGTACTGTACGTCGTGACTGGCTAATAGAAGAGCATAATGGAGCATGAAAGCAGCAAGAACCTGGAAGAGTCCTCTAGTGTCTCTGCTGTGTAACTCCCCAGTGCATAACTCCCCAGTGCGTAACTCCCCAGTGTGTAACTCACCGGTGCGTAACTCCCCAATGTGAAACTCACCAGTGTGTAACTCCCCAGTGTGTAACTCACCAGGCTAAATAAATATTCAAACAGACAAACAAAGAGAGACATAATAGATAGATAGATAGATAGATAGATAGATAGATAAAATATTGGCTAAGCAATGAAATGTTTATGATGATTTACCCCATGCTTGTCACTGCCTTATGAGAAGTATTATCCACAGATAATTTTATGTGGCTGTAGCTTCATACCAAGAAATGTGATTTTTAATGAAGTGAAAGTTTCATAAGGAATATCGGTTGGATGTTAGATTGGGTTCTGAGGTGCCGCCTGAATTTTCAGTGCCTATGATAATGTAATAGGGTTCCAGCAAGTGGAAAATAGCTTTTTGATCACATGACAGGACTCCTCCTATTCATTTACTTTGGTTCTGTGCAAAATGCCTTAGATATGAGCTTTAAATCATGAGAAAGATGAGAAAACAGGAATCTATGAGGCATCAATTGACCAGTGTTTATTACTGTATCACTGTAAGACATTACTTTAGCCTTCCTAGCCTTTTACAGCCTGGAGAAATGGTTTCTTAATATTTATCAGGGCTGATAAAGACTCAATTTCCGCATTTTTTGACAGGCAGGCTAATGAGCGGAAGTTTTCACATCAGACACAACTAGCTGCCCGTATAAAGGGGACTTGTTTGACTAAACAGACCTGCGTTGGTCTCACACAGCCCCACATTTTTCCCTCGGTGTTTTGACAAAAACAGATTTTCTGAAACAGAAAGCTTGGAATAGAAAGCCAGGGTCGGTTTGTCTACCCGGCTTCCACCAAGAATTACATTTCTTGGTCATTTGGTCAAAGCGGCTACAGGTTAAAGTGGAAAAACGGCGGCTTTGGCGGCCGGCCCCTGAGCCCCTTTGAGGGCGTTGTCCTTCCTCCTGGAGAGAACATCCCCGTCCCGAACTGTTTGTCTTCCCCACAGCCTTGCTTCCCTTTTGCGGCAGCTCTCTCAGGGCCGCCCAACGCTGCTCCACCACAGGCACGCGACCACGTTCTGGTCCTACAGTCGCCGGCCGTCGGAGGCCCAAAGCAGTAACACTCACACTCTGGTTAATGTTCTTCACCCCAGCAAATAAAAAAAATGAAGTGTATCAGAACAACTCGCATTACATCCGGACTGCCTGCTGGTGGTAGCTGGCAGAATCCATCTGTGTCTCAGAACCACCTCCCACTACTTTCTGTCCCCGTCACATGACGCAGAACCACCAGCCCTGCTGCTCCCGTCCTTCAGTGGCCCAGGATATTGCAGGGTTTGTACCCAGATTTCCAGGAGCGGAGACTCACTCTAACCGTGTAGCGAGTAACACCGCTGACGATTCATTAGCTACGCTTGAGCTAAAACCGTTGTGACCTCCTGCCTTTTCCACGTCAACAGATATTTCCGGTTCGGATATGAAATAACCTGCCGGACTGCAGTAAACGTCAATATCCCCTACGCCTGTACAGGGCCGTGCTGCTGCTGCCCGTGTTCCATTTCCCGTTCTGTTTCGAGAAACACTGTGGTGAAGTGACTAAACAACCAGCGGTAAATATCTCAGCGGTACAGCGAGGTGGGTGGAGGAAGTGTGGATCTCAGCAGGCCGGAAACAAGGCCGGTAGGAAGACCTTCAGGTGGGAGTGGTGGTCAGACATTATACGCCCGCTGACGGAGGCGTGGCCTGCTGGCTGTGTTCATCCGACAGGCCAAGCAAAGAGGAAGCCAGGAGAAGGATTAAAATAGAACAGAAATAAACAAACAAGCCGGACGCACGCCTGTCAGGCCCCATGAACCCGTGGGTGGACAGCGGTAGAGACAGAGAAGCTCGTAAGCTGTATAAACAGGGATTGCTGGAGCACCAAATAGCTACACTAGACCCAGTGCTCCCCCTTGACAGGACACCCCATGTGGCGTTTAGGTATCAGTGTTCGAACACAGACAGCCCAACACCGCTGGAGAGCAAAATATTCCGGAAATACATAGAAAATGTAAGTTTGCATCTCACCATCATGGCCATTTGATGCGTTATTACAGCTCACTTAAAATAATGGTAGATTTATCCAAAATAATGATACGAAGCACAAGCCCACCATATTGAGGCTGTGGGTCATTCTGAAAAAGGGCAAATGGCTTCTTTCTGACCAAACAGGCAACACGCACCCTGATTTCAATATAACTCAGCTGAAATAATTAAATCAATCAGTTGATCAATAAATTCTGGGGGAAATAATCAGGGAATTAATAATAGCTGGAAGTAATGAGGAAATGTTACGATATTCCCATTTTTGCCATCACAGAGTGATGCGGCCACTTGCTTATAGTAACATCGAGGGCGCTCGGCTAAAAATATTTTATTGTGACAATCACAGTTTCTTTTTTTCAGATTTCAGCCTATTTTGGACAACTTATGCATCACTACTGTGTCAGATTTTCAAACTGTCTTCAGTAATTCCAGGGCATGCTTGTGTTGTTCGGAGTTCTAAGCCCGATGAAACAAATCGAAATGGCAACAGGCACATTAAAAGAAACCAGCTGCGTATGAGTTCAAACAAAAGTAGACAAAGGTGGTTCTCATCCCTTCGCAAGGATTCAGAGATGAGGTCGCCATGGTGTCCATTCACAGTCAGAAGACGCATAAATCTCTCAAGATTTGCGAAGGTCTCAGAAAACAACATGGAGGTCTGTCTTTAGTCTAGAAGAAGCTGTCTGAGTTTCTGAACAGAGCAGGTTCTCCAGAGGGTGGCCTTTTTAGGGAATGTGCATCTCAGACGCTTGCTTGCTGTGAACATCTGTTGTCCTTGGATCCATTAAGAACCTGAATTGTTCAAGGTTCAGTGTAGGTTCAGTGTAGAACGCAGAATGCAAGCAGAGGCCCCCAGGGGCATCACTGCTCAAGGTGGGGGGGGTCCAAGCAGGCTCCCTTCACCTCACAAAGATGTCTCCATGGCGCCCTCTAGTGCCGGGGATGCCTAATCCAGTTCCGTATTGTCCACTTCTGTCCCGAGCATCTCTGGACCACCAACCTCAGGCCAAAGTTGGCTTCCTTGGACATCTCGACCTCCAGGCAGCGGCCCGTGTCCCGGCTAATGATGGGCCCGTTCTGTGCAAAGGAATTTTAAAAGTCACACCGTTGCTCAAATATCACTTGCATGACAGTTTTGAGCACAGTCGCCACATAATGTACAAGCCTAATGCCCCAAGAGTCTGCAGGCGATCAATAGTGCAGGCTGGCACATGGTTCCTGTACGCCCAACGACCTGGACTTTCAAGGTCAGTGACAACAGTTAAGAGAACCCGCTGAAGCAGCTACTTTTATTACACATCGCTCACAGGTGCTCACAAGGACGTACACAATGTACAAGTCATGCAATTACACCACATGGGTCAAACACAGCTGGATGCAACCAGACAGGGTATTACAGCTCTCAGGATTCCTGTGTGACCTGTGTCTCACCTGTGTGAAGTCCCAAAACCTCTGGGACGGTCGTGTGACATTGTCGCACCGCTTTAACAAAGGCGTCCGGCCCCGGCCCTCGTCCACAAGGCACTTGGTGTCCGGGAGGAAGGTGGTGGACCCCAGAGGACCCAGCTGCAGGAGACCCTGGGTGGAGTAGCGGGCAAGCTGGACATGTAGACATGTGAGCAAATGGTTAGGGTGCAAACCACACCTTGGCCATTCTACATTGACCTTTGTGCCTTTACATATTCAGACTCGTGCTACTCTCCTCGGACAGCATGCCGTCTCTGATTGGACAATGTTACTCTGCTTGGACGGCATGCCATCTCTGATTGGATAATGCTACTCTGCTTGGACATTAATAACGTTGGGTGGGGTGTCCAACAGGAAAGCCCTTACCTGGGAGGACATGCCGTGGCAAGGGTAAAGGATAGCCTTGTTGTCATCTTCAGACCCTTGATCCAGGCAATACCCACTGGCCTTGCTGTTACGTACCTAAGAAACCAAACAAAAATAATAACTAACTGCACAGTTACACAGATTCATAGATAAGTGGACAGAGTTGCAGTTAGGAAACATAGATATATATACACATATTTCTATACAAGACTAGGAAAATGACTGTAATGGAAGGCACATGAAAGCCAATCGACTGAGAGTTCAGAGCATATACAGTAGGGGTTTTCAGAGATATCAGTGGAATTAGAGAACACTATCACTAATTTATTCTGAAATGCAATGCTCTGACACTGTCAGATGAACACTGTTGGCAGAAGGCTATTCCACACCCTGTTGTTTACTTGACGAAATTAAACAGGGATATCCATTAGGAAAAAAATGGCCAACTTGACCATACTGAGGAAAATCACACCAGTTCTTAAGCTTACTTTTTAATAATTTCCAAAGAATTATTACAGGACTGAAAATCACAATTTATCTGTGTGGCAAGTGAGCACTTTTGGCCTGGTTATTCCCAAAGAAACATAAGATGGATGAAAGCCACATGCTTTCTCCATACCACCCCTTGTCAGAGTCAGACAAGAACACAGCAGGTTCCTTGTTCTAGAAACTACTGCGAGGAACCGATCTGCTTCGTTTTCGTGTATCATTGCTCTTCTCTACAGCGTTTGTAGTCACTACTATACATGAGGAGGGGAAAAAAGCTCACTTTGTAATTTGTCATCGTTGAGTGGTTGTCAGACTTGATTTAAGCCAGGGAAACGACATTTACATAACAAAAGAGAGAAGGAAAACTTGAAATGCAATCAGTCGTCTGCTTCTGTGCCTAGTCGGTGAAATTGATGTCAGTGGTTCTCCGCACCGCTGCGCATTCTGGCTGTAAATTATAATCAAACGCTAATATTTTAAATTGTCCGAGTGATGCAATTTAAATGGAAAACGGAGGCGCACACTAGGGGGGTCGAGGGGGGGGAGTTGCATTTCTGGTGTGATTTAACCAGCCATTTACAGGGCTGTGGTTTAATCATGTTTGTGCTTTTTTTCGCCTTTGTTTTGCAATCATATTACATTTTCTGCTGGAGATACGGCAGGAAAGAGCTGGGTTTTAGCAGTGCATAAAAGGGCAACGGCATTTGATCGCTTCTTTTTCCTTGAGCCAAAATTTAGCCTAATTCATGGTTTATGGTTTGGCAGCACCGGGAGCCTCACCTCGCCGTAGGTGATGGTGTCATTGTAGATACGCATCTCAGGATAGACGTGCTCCAGATACCAGCGGAAACTCCGGCAGCGGAGCTTCTTCCGCAGGGACACCCTGTCCGACACGTCGCCGAAATCGACTCCGGGACTCTGTCGAGTTAAACGTGCCAGCCGATTTTTTACGATCAGTTAAAACAAGCCCCAGATAGGTAAAAAGGGCAATTTGACATCATTTGCACAGATCTCCCGCTTAAAATGCGTTAAGCAATAGCTTCATTTCATATCGTTTAACTTTCCTCTAATAAGGCTCAATGTTTTCCCAGGATACAACCAGTCCATAAACAACCTATAAATACCAATGAAACAGCAGGGTTACAAACGTTGGTCAGCTTGCTTGAGTGAGATTTTCAATTCGAGACAAGTCTGCATACTCATTTACACGTATGTAACAGTTTTATTACCTTGTAAATAATCTGTAAGGTTTGCGAACTACCCCAATGCTTTTGATGTTGCTAATTTTAGTCTATAATGGGATAATGTAGAGTTGCCGTAAGATTCCTTGCGTGAGCGTGAGAGTCTGAAAACATGAGTGTCAACCAGATGCGTTAGAGTTGGCAACTCTGAAACAGTATGCTTTCTCTTCAAACATACTGGTGTTTCACAGCCTCTGGAGAGTTCTAGAATTAAAATCAGGGCACAATCTGAAGGCTCCTACATAAACAGGACATAAATAGTCACTCATAAAGATAATTATTCAAACTTGACAAACACTGTTCATGTAAGTGCACAAATAGGCCTACAGAATTGTAGTCTCTTCTAAATCCTGAAACAATAAATCCTTGCTCCATTACTCTTTAAAAATAACTCAAAATCCAATTAAGCTAATGTTTCCCTTCTGATACATAGAAGTTCTGGCCATCTGAGTAGTTTTGTACAGAGACATGCATTATTGTTTTGGTCTCGTCGTGTTGCGAACTTGGCAACCTTGCTATTCACTATGAGGGGCCGTCAGTGTGTGCATGACTTCCTGTAAAGCTGCTAAGCTATTCTACAACTCCTAACCCATGTTTGTCTGATTGGATAAAAGCGAAACTGTTAATCGTGATGGTACATAAACAGTTTGATGGAGGCTTTTGCGTTGTATAAACTCTGCATCACTTTGCGTACAGGGGTTTAAGCTCATGAGTCTCAAACAGGGACAGACCCTGCAGGGTCCCCTGAATCAGAGTATTCCCACGGGGGGGGGGGGGTGCGGAAGGTCAGTCTGCTGTGTGTCACTCACATTGATGGGGATGTTCCAGGCCATGTAGACGTGGGTCTTGAACTCATCCATCCAGACCTCTGCAGCCCGCAGGGCATTCCGCTTCGCATAGTAGTCAATATCATTGTTGTAGGGCTTCTTGGTGCGCTCGATGTGTGCCACCCGGGCACAGGGCAACACCTCCATGCTGCCTCCACACTGCCACACCTGCAAGACACAACCCGGACATGACTAACCTGTGACATCACGGGGAGTATTTGCTGATGTACCAAATCTGTTCCTTAATGGCTTAGATTCTGTTATTCAAAAGTTCTGTTTTTATAACCATGTGTTAAGAAAACTACTCGAAAACCATAGAACGTCTATAACAAGATTAGGAATACAAGAATTAAACATATGATTTGCACAAGCTTGTTTTAGAACAGTCTATAATTTTATAGTATTTTGTGGTATTCATGGATGGTCATGGATGGATGGATGGATTGATGGATGAATAATGGATGGTCCTTCCATGACCCAGTGCCTCTTTAGTTTCTTTAGTTGCTCCCCGACACCAACCCAAAGTCTGCTGCTCTAGTGTTTACACCACCCAGCGCTTTGGTTAAATGCTTCTCCACACCTGTGATCAAATAAAGTCCCCAGGCTTTACTTCCTCCCATCCCTGTGTCTGTTCACCATCCCTCTGGGGATAAATCTTACAGAGGGTTTTAATTAAAAAATAAAAAAAATAAAGTAAGATAAGAAAGCTTAGGCCACGTGATTCATGCATCTCTGGATGGCCCCCAGCTCTGACTCAGAGCCAGGCCAGATTTTAAATTAAATTTACAGACACATGAAATCTCTAGAGTGTATGCAGCTAATCTGCATTTTTAATTGGTCTGTTTTCACACGAAGGGGTACGGTAAGAGAAAAGTACATACTCAATCATCAAGGGAATCTGCCTCCTAATGAACCACATTGACTAAAAATATACAGTAAATACACAATTTAATATTTCACTACTGAAAAGCAGTGAATAGCCCTTTCTGTCCCTGACTTTAACTGAACAAACAGCCAGCAAATGCACTCATATATGGGTCCCATTAGAGAGGCAGGATATTCTACCAACCCCCAGAATCATTTAAGGCCACCTGGCACGTGTGTGCACTCATGGGAGCTTCACTTACACAATGTTCTGAAGGCAGAACGAAAAATGATTGGTTCAGAACAGGGGAGTTTCTAGCTACTGAAACGATCAGGGGCTTCGTCAAGTTTAACAGGGGCTTCACTTTTTATAAAGGAAGATTGGCATAGGGGCTGAAATACTCGGGGCTACACTTAAAAATACTTGGGGCAATAGCCTTGAGTGATCGGACCTAATGACGCCCATAGCTCAAAGAGACAACCAATCAAATTGTAGAGGAGGTGGGACCAAGCAACTAGAGGAGGTGGGAAAAAGACATCTAATTGGCTGGTCCTACCTCTTCTAGTTGCTTGGATTTCTAGTTGCAGCCTCCTCTACAATCTCATTGGTTGTCTCTCTGAACCGGTCAGTTTTTGTTCTGCCCTCAGAACATTTTTGTGTAAGTAAAACTCCCATGAGCCATGTGCACAAATGCAGTAAAGAGCTACTGGTGCACAGCTCAAATCCAGCAGAGCTGATTGTAAAAACAATTACAGTAAGAAGCTCAGTTAACGTCTGTGAGTCCAGGCTAGCATTTGATTAGCAGCCTCACCTGGGGACTTGGGTCCTAGTTTCACAGGAAAAACTCCCCCAAGATACCCCAAGTGATACTGGGTGTACTTAAGTCCATGGTTTGCTGTAATGTCAGTCACATACGGATGTGGCAATATGAAACTGTAAGGTCAAAGGTCAGACTAACAAATGGAAAATCTTAGATATAGGTTTAATCACAGTTGATCAATGGTCAGGGACAACTTTATTTTTGCCACATTCCCGTGAGGATAGCATCAGCATCAGCAGCAACGGTAATCAAAAGAGCATTTATTTGTGTGCCAAATTACTGCGAGCCGAGGTTCTATTAAATTAACTATTCATACATTATAATACTCAGGAGACACGGCAATGCAATAACCACGCTGCCCCCTGGGTCTTCCGGGAGCAACACGCCAAATTAGAAACTTCATTACCCCGCTAATACATTCTGATCAGATGTTTTTCTTATGGTTTATAATGTCACTCTGCTGTGACGCACAGGCAGCCCCGTGCCTTAGAGTCGCTGGTTCCGGGAGTCGGAGAGCAGTGGGATTCATCCACCGCGGGTTCCGGCCCAGCCAGGCTGGCTCGCCATGACTAATTGCACTCGGTCCGAGCAGACGAGAGCTTAAATTAGAACGACAGAATGGGCCGCAGTCTGATTCTCAGGCGAGGCGAAAGGCGACAGCCGCAGAATGTGAGATTTACACAATGCGCCCATTTGTCTGTTTCTCGGGTGCCGGCTGCCTGACTCGCAGTGTGACACCAGACTCATGTTCGTATCTGATCCCCAGGTGGAATCGCATGTGGAGATGCAATCTCTCGGCATTTAAAACGGGAGCTGCGTCAGCGGCTCTCCGACTGCTCTCCGTTTCCTTCTTTGCGTGCTTTGCACACCGTTTGGTCGCCGAGGAGGCACACGATGGGGCCGGATTGTCCTCGAGATGACTGATTTCCTTGGTCACCTTCAAACATTTCTCATTTATCTATTACGCAAATGCAGGTTTCCTTCAGTATGCTACAGACACAACACTTGTCTGACTGGGTTCAGTCCCACGGGGAAGGTTCAGTGTTAAACCAGAGCTCTTGGAATCAGCAGCGCTCTCCCTTGTTAAGAGTCTCTCCTTCCTCTCCCCCTCTGGCCTGCGGCTGTCGTGTCCCAGTAATGGCTGACTGGTTGCTTTTGTGACGGCTGTCTTGTTGTTCACCTTGAAAACACCCCTCCCACGGCTACGGCTTTTAGGGACAGACAGACGCTATAAACACCGGCGTGCATTTAGGCTGTCCACACGGCAGAGAACAATCCAGAAGACCACCGTTTTAATCACGACTATCTGTAGTAAAAGTAAAAAAACTGAACGAAGGTGGAAAGTTTCAGAATTTCCATGACCTTTCCTAGAAATGGCAGAGAGGAGCACGACTGTGACTCGACGGAGCAATAGATGACGGAGGGTCAGCCACCACAGCTCTCTGCCACTCCATCGAGCTCTGACAGGTCTGAAGGTCCTGACAGGATTCCTCATGAGATGGTGCATGAGAGGAAGCCAGAGGCTGGGAGTTCGAGCAAACTGAATTTTATTAGATGGAGCTCTGGAGAGACAGAGAACCCGCTAGACAGTGAGTATTCTCTGAAGAGACTGAAATTCAGCCTCCTTCATAATACAACTGAAAGAGGAAGAGGGATGATGTCATCCATTATCATTAGAGTGGGAGTTGTTACAGGAATCTGGAACATGAAGGAAAACCTGCTCCAAGCCCATGAAGAGCAGTAAAGTACTCCACTCCAGACACCCCCATCGTGTGCAACTCGTATCCTTAGCGAGATGCTCGGACATTCAGATCAGCTGGCTGTTGACCCTGTCAGAAGTCAGAAGAAAACCTAGCATCCCACAGTCATCGCCCAAGCTCTGAGCCAACCATTCCATGAAGGAAGAGGACCTTCAGGTTGGAAGGACATTCCCATGGAAGCGTCATCAGCCAACCAGAGAGAGCCTCCACACAGACATCTCATTAAAGTACTGAAGCGTGCCCCACACCTTGGGTACACAAGGGAACACGTTTTAACAGCTTTAGTAGTACCTAATAACTGTAAAGCAATTTCATGGCTCTTTAGGCCTGGTTATCCACAGACATCGCTGTTATAATGTTTATACTGTTGCTGCCAACATCTTAATAAGCTCTGAATGGTTTGTTACAAATTAATGATCTAGATGCTTCATATATTATAGGTTATAAGCTTCTTCAGTCGTACTTTTAATTATTAAATCAGTAACATGTGCATCATTAACATCAACTAATGCACTGCAGTTGAGCACCTGAAACAACAGGAGAAATATTCACCACAGGATGAATGATTCATTTAATCATTTGCCAATTAAACTATTAAATCGCATAAGTGAGTGACAGTATTGATTATAATTGCACTTTTGTTTTGTACTGTTATCTTACAGGCCAGTCAACTTTCTCATCTGAATAAACAAATCCAAGGTCGTAAATATCAGAACTGAAAGGTTCGTTATGCTTAATTAAGCAATTAATTCCCTTAAAACAATAGTGGATTCATCAATATGTTCTCAATTTACCTAGGTATAACCGCCCTGTTTTCCCACAAAACCATGCATATCCACGTACAGTCAGTTTCCCCGTTATTTAACCATTGGACCATCTTCGCATCTTAACTGTCCCCAACGCACAGACGATATAACTTCGCGTTTAATATACTGACAGCGGGCGTAATGTGCGGTGATGGCCGGGATTAATCTCATAAACGCTGGCTGATCTCTCAGAGAAGGCGATCGCCCGGGACGGGACGGGACGCACTGAGCGACTGCTGCGGTAATTCCCGTGGAAACGATGTAAATGCGATCAGCTAAGGTTAACGAGACGAGGAGAGTCTCCGTACCCTGCCTGTCACACGTGATGTGCTTCATCGGGGCTGCTGCTGAACCATTAATATAGCCTAACAAATGATACTCCTATAATGCTGTCGGCAATTCGAGTATCCCACTGTGATAACACTGTGTGAATCTGGGTGCAGCATCTTATCTATCAGCTTATCTTAATGCATTTCATTCAAGAGTGCAGTACTCTGTTTCTTTCTTCTTATTATTGCGTAATGAATGGGACAGAAAGCGTGGATGATATTTTCTTCACGTTGTGACGACAATGTAACAACTGACACCAAAACAAGACTTAATCAAGCCGCAGCGTCCTTATCACCCTAAAGCGAGAGACCATCTCGTTGCTTAACATAACGGATTCAGCTGCCAGTTTAATAAAATGTATGGCATAGAATTCACATTTCATGTAAAAGGCAGCGGGAGGACTGCGCGAGGAGACTCTCCTAACCTCATGAACACGTTCAGGAAAAAAAAACTAATTGGTTATATTGCAATGAAAAAAATAGGCATGAAAAAAGTAGATTGCTCTACATTGATAGGAAGTTTTCTAAAGTGCCCAAAGAAAATATTTTTTAAAATCCTATTTTTCAGATATTACTTCCAGCAATATT